TGGAATTAAAAGGTGAGCTAAAAAGCGGTAATTAATAGACTTGGAAAGAACACACAAATGTTCGTATGCGAAGAAGCATCAAAACTCACTGCTTGATAATTTCCGCACCAGGAAGCGTCCAGCCTTCTAAGTCTGGAGAGTACAGCATTTTCTAAACAATTGTTACAACCTTTCGATGCAGAGGATCGAACTCTATCAGCTGGTGGCCCACTGCCACCGCATACAAGGGTAGTATGATGAGTGAGGCCTTGTTCCGTGAGGCTGCTCCACGAGGCATAGTGGACAGGTGCTGGCTCACAGCGTGTGCCCCGTCCACGTGTTCGTTCACATGAATAAACAGCCGTATTTCGGCTCCTTTGTAGTCGTCGGGAGAGCACCGAGAGAGTGGAATCCGTCGTGGATGGCCATAGGGCTTGCAAATTGATGCTCTCAAGGCGTGAAAGAGTTTCATCGGCAAGACGATAGAACGTGCTGGAAGTCGAACACTTTTAATAAATGAGGCAAGATGGCAATAGCTAGAAAACCCAACACTTACCGACATACACAAGATATTCGACAGAGGGTCGGCAAGTCTAAATACCGAAAAATCGCAAGGAGAACCTCATGCTAAAGGAAAAGCAGATAAATCAGATGATAAAAATTATGGCAAAAACGGCATAACTGTACGTACTGGGAAACGGAGAAATGGATTGAAAGCGCAAGTAAAAGGGTTTTCTCTAAGTGCGAGCGTAGTTTGATGAATCAAAGCCAGAGAAGTTAACGATGAAGGAAATTGACAAATCCCCATGGAGATTGGACACAATGCGGAATTCTGAATGTACTCACTTTCCACTGAGGATTGAGGAAGCGACAATAAGTCGGTGGAAAAATCATCAACCTCATCTACGTACGGAGTCTGCCAAAAAGGAAGTATGAATAATCACAATCACGATAAAAGCATCGTAGTAAAAACTTACTGGGCTTGGAGACGGCAAGCTTAATAATGCTTGCCTTTTTTCATTATTTTTTTCTTCAATGATGGACAAGTACCACTCCAATTCCTTTCTTGGAAGAATCCGATTCTTGCCATTCTTTTTACATCGAGTTTTGGTTTCTTCGTCAGAGATCGGTTCATAACCTTCTACCTGTACAGCATCCAACTGTGTGTGGTACGCACAGCGACGGACATCAAGTTCAATCCGAATGAGATCTGTCGGCACAAGTGGAATATTAAACTACAAAGAGAGGGAGTAAAAGTGGATAATAAACACAAGACCAGACATTAAATAAAAGAAAACGTACTCACAAGGTCAGGTACAAATATTCTAGCTTTTCCGTACTGTGAGCTTTTATTAGGATCAACGGACACTAGTGCACTTTGCCCGTCCATTTCTAGCCAACTTGACAAGTGGTCCTGAGCAACCGATTGCCATAAGGTAGCCCAATACATTCCTCGCGCATTTACAGGGTTACCAGTCGGTTGATCTCGGTAGCAGGCACGAATGGCTACAATCGCACCAGGAAAAAATGTTTCATAGATCTTCATACGAACAATGATGAGAGGACGTTCAAAGAAAACATCAACATAATCCGTGCTTGAGTATGCAAGCGGGCCACCAGAAATTGATTTTAACGATCCTGGGTAGGATTCCCAACGAGAACCATAATTAAGCTGTAAAGAATATAGGTTAGCAGAAAACGAAGATAAATACCCACGTACAATAGAACAAAAACCTACAAATGCACAAGAACGTGTTGAGTCCTCAAAGTTGGGATAGATTGTTGGTGGACCACACAGATTCTCCGCCACAAAAGCTGTTCTTCCATCTTCTCCATATTGCGAGCTACATTCAATCACTTCTTTGGCAAATAACTCAGTTCTTGCAAAGTAGTTTGCTTTTGACCCATCCATATGACACACACCGGTTTACGGTAGCCGCCAATTTATAAAGCCTTATGAAATCCAAAAGTCTCTCAGGGTAAGAAACTTAAACAAAGTCGCATGTTAAAGATTGTAAATAACATCGAATTTACTTGTTTAACAAACAAAACCTAAATTAGCTATAAGTTAATGGTATAATGCAAATAAAGATTATTAAAATAAGTGCAATACTGCGCCTGCAGAACCACTTGGCGGTTTTGTTGATCGGCGCTGTCTATGAGTGGGTTGTTATCTCATAGATCGTCGCCCTTAGATGGATGCTATTATCTGCGGTCTTCGGAATGCGTTTATAGTTTCCGATAACACATCTACATGCGAAAATTTGTGTCGTGACTGCGATGAATTCATGACAGAAATTGCCCAACAGCATGATTTGCCACAATTTTGTGGAGATATGTTTTCAGGCGGCTCTAGTCGACATTCACCGGAAATAAGTTTTGCTCCAGATTCAAGTAATGTTTCGCCCTCTTTACCGATCCTTTTCTTTTAGACTTTTGGCGTTGGAACAATTTTATGGAGCGCAGTTGTCAAGTGACATCCACGCACTCTTCTACCTCTAAACCTCATTACTCTGAAGGTTGAATCCTTTCCCACTGTCGTTTACTATAGTTGTAGGTGAAAGCATTCCTGAATTCGTCAATTTCCTGTCACCATCTCCTCTTCCACCTGTCGACCGAACGCGAAAGTCTGCTCTTACAATCGCTCTCGAGAAGACGTCTTTGAATGGCAAGTCGGTAAATAAGTTCAACAACTACGCAATTTTCGATGGACGGTCGGCGGGCGGTAAAAGTGGTTCTTTGTCAAACGTTCAGCCTTTCCCACGTTTACGTCCCTATGTTGTATGGTTTTGGCGCGTCTTCGGTCTCCCCAAGACTTCACTCTCCGTGCAGCCCACGGCTTCATGTACAGTTCGTGATTTGGTCGGGTTGTCTCTTTGGCAATACTTTAACGAAAATCCATCTGTCATCACTGCTTTTAACTCGGAAACATCCCATCTTGAAAAGGACACAACGTGAGTTGATGGTATTCTCATTTTACCTCCTCTGGGGTCAGATGTTCATCGCCTTTTTACGTTACAGATTAATAATTAAACAAATCGACGTTTACGTGTACGACCCACAAGAAGATATTGATGACTTTCCTCCTCTTCAGCCCTCAGATTCAATTTATAAATATGGTTTTGATGCTCTTGCCTTGGTGGAGAATTCCCCTGCAGCATCTCCTGGTCAGGAAGCAAATGTGGAGCCACTAATTTACGTTACAGTGTATATTGCTTCTTCTAATTTTCGATGCTATTCCATTTAATTGTTTTATATTTTTTCCCCATCTGAAGTTAGAGTTTTTGCGACTATCAGTATAGATGGACTGAAATAATTAAGTTACTTAGGCGCATTCGATAATGTGTGCATTCGATGGTGGCAACGCTTCATTTACTTCGGCTTTCACCATTTGTGTTTTGCATCATTTTAAAGGCATCTGACCCAGGGCATTAGTCTTGTACGCTTCCCTGCGTCAGTAGTACTTAGGCGAGTGCTTGATGAGGCTATCAACAGACGCAAACTACGGCAGCATGAGGGATATGTCTACCGCTTGGAGGAATGGCTCGACCCCGACAAACAGCCACAAGCATCTGAGGATCAGAGCGCCTTTCGTAGACCTCTTGATCTCAATATGACCTTAGCGGAGTACACGAAAAACAATCCGCGTCCACACTTTGCCCTTATTCGTGAACACAGTACGTTCATCCATAAGTTCTTTTTTGCCTACCGTTTGGTCCTCCCACTTTATGGTCGTTACTGGCTTTCTTGGCGACTTGTTCTTAGATGTACAGTGCGCTGCATTCATTATCGCTACACTATGGCTTGGAGGTTTTAGGCCATTGTTTTTCTCATGCTTCAGCAAGTTGGCTTTGATCTTTCTGTTTTATTTGCTAAGTGGTCACTCATGGTAACCTTAAATCCATTCGAGTTTGGTTAGGTTTTTTGCGATTTTCAAGCTAAAACTTCTGTAGGATACGTCATCCGTAGTTCTTGCCATTGGGAAGTGGCGCAGCTAAAGGAAACAAAAACTCGACATTTTGCTGAATCATATCGAGTGCTTGAGTTTTATACTTCCGCAATATGGGAGACGTATTTAATGGAAAGTTCTTTTCTGTCAGTAATAAATTGCTTCACACGTATTTTTATGACATTGTTTAGATTTTTAGAACAAATACAGGAAATGTCCACTTTTTCCAAACCTATTTGGCAACAAATTAAAGCATTTGTGATGCTCGAGAGGCACCAACTTTGACTGGTTGCAGTAGTGTTGCAAATGTAGTTGGACTTATTCTCGTCAGCACCAAAATTTCCTTATCGGTGCCAGCCCCAAATATGATTAATATTGCCGCTTTCCAAACAGGCAGGAAAGAGAGAGTTAAGTGCTCCTCGACCTGGAATTAACTGCAGTTTTGGAGTGGCTGTTGAGTTGATAGTGACTGTTAATGTCTCACTAGAACAGACAAGCATCTGAGAACCAGAGGACAAATTTATATCTGTCCTACTTTATTTTGATCATTGATGTTTCATGCCCAAAATAGGTCGCTATGACCCCGTAATGGGAGACAATGATTGCGGGTTGCACTCTTCTGATCCTGTGAATAGTTCTTCCGGCAACTCAATCATGTCACCTTGTGGCGCCGTGACTCGCAACCTTCAGTCACGAAAGTATCGAGCCACCCAGCTCCGCGGTCCCATTTCGCGCGATGTTCAACTCAGTAGGTCATCTTGTCCTTATTTTTGCTTTTTTCGACTGATATCCAGAATATACTCCTGTAATACGCACTTTTTTCTAAATGCTAAATTTTTCTCCTCACTATCTGTCAACTCTTATGAACAATTTCCAACGAAAATGTTTGGTTTTCATCTATCAGTTTGTGAGGCAAATCGGTTACATGTTTCGCTACAAGTGATATATGAACGGTAGTAACGCGTAAGAAGTTTTTTAAACCAAGGTGAAAAAGCTTACTTTTTGCAAGATAACCAGCCCTATGCCATTTGGTTGTAGTGCTGCCATTGGTATAAAAACCAGTTTAACACCTCTAATGTTTCCTTTTGCCCTATCCTTTAATCCATTTCATTTTCTGACATTTGGCATCAAAACTTTGTTGCCCAGGAAAACCGAGCCTTAGACAATAATCATTTTCAACGCCAGTTACACTTATTAGGCATGACGTTTTGCCCTCGTCATTCTGTGAAGCAGATGTGCATTGGTCTCTCAAACAGTGCAATTTGCGTGCACCTTGGCTGTTATTGCCATGCTGAACTGAGCTTAGCATGGAATTGGCGTTTTCTTTTGTTGAATGGCATGGGAACCTCACTCGTTTTGTGAGCACATCACTCCATTATTTCTTTGTTTTACTTACCCTTTCTGTTGATAAACCGTCGTATTTCATTCCGCTGCTGTTTAAACTGATTCGTTTATATTGGCTGTTTCACTCTTATGTCTTGGTTTTCTGTTAAATTTTAGCACTGCTATTTCGAAATTTGTCAAACACATGGCTTTAATTTCAAACCGCTCTTGCTGTTGAGAGAAATTTGTAGCATCGACTACAGATTGGTGCATCTCAACAGTTAAAATTTGATGTGCGGATAAGTTGTGTTTCTTTATGTGTGCTTGCACACAAACGCAGCCGTATCTAGAGACCGACTGGACGTACAGGCTTCTCGGTTGCCAAAAATTTTTCGTGGTGGATCAAAGTTCCTGACCGTGCCGATGTCCCACGTGGTGGATTGCTCTTTGTGCTCTGCCACTACCGCGATCGGTGACACCTCCAACCAACCCCTATCTAAGGTCCAGTTTGTCATCCTTTATCTTGTAAGTCCTTGTTTAAAGCTCTGAGATACATATTGGCTCAATTTTCACTTGTAATTGTTCTTTTGCCAATGAATCATTTCGTCCACGTTTTGTACCCCTTTTTGATTGAGTTTATAAAGTGGGATTACTTTAGCGAAACAGGTGTACAATCAGTTCATGAATTTGGATTCTACTGCAATGCTTCAATTTAAATTATTTCAATATGTCAATTGGCAGCGGCTTACCTTATTTCCGCTTCATGCGGCTGTGGATAGGCATGCCTGTGTTAGGCAGCTGTTTCACCACTTGGTTAGCCATCACGATAAAAGGTCCGCCGGCGATTAATTTCTCTGCTGTTTCTGAAGTAACAACTGGAATCAACCCTGTGAATTAGATGTCAGTTTGTGGATTTTCACCTTGCCTAGTTTATTCGATTACATCTGAATTTACATCACATTGTGATGAATGCCTAGTAGAGTTGTTGCTTTAGCGTAGAGATGGGTGGCCCCATCTTGCTCTGTCTTCGATTTTTCATGATGATGTTCTCTCCTGGAGCCACCACTAATTGGGCAACAGGGTGGGATTGCGTGGGGACTGCCTTCGACGTCACCGCGCCCAGAAGTGGAGGTAGTGGAGAACGATGAGAAGTCTCGAGGCTTTGGTCTGGGTGACATTGCGAATCTCGTTTTTGAGAGCCAGTGGACCAGTGCCCGCGCCATATGTCATCAGATGAACTTGATCTTCTCCTGCTGTCCCAGTCGCATCCGCGACATTTATCTGAACCTCTGTCTCTCC